CAAAGATGTAACCAGATAAAATTAATGTTTCCGCACACGTCCGTTCATCACAACAAAATATTTCTTTCTAAAAGGATTTATTGTATATTTAATCAAGGACTCTTTGACACGCTAGATTCTTTTACAATAAAATGTATTAAACGATTATTCATACAACTCGTTGTAACGAATACAATAAATGACCTACTTACCTAACAAACCATTGATAAATGTTAAGTTACCGGTATAAAATATTGTCCGTATTCACGACTGCGATGGGCGATTGCGATATAAATAAAGTGCATTTACGTTATGTTGAACGATCAATAAATTACTTGCATGTAATATGGATTCAAAAAAAAAAATTGAAATGTAATATTGAATTTAAAAAAAGAAAAAGACCGTTTCAGCTTATTTCAAGAGATAGCAAACATTATATAGAATTTGTTGATTATCGATAAGATTGATTGCATCTATATCAGAAACGCGCGAAACAATTTGTGTTTGTCGATGCGTGTAACCATAAAATGTGAACAGTTTCCATGAAATCCATTGTCATACAACAGTTGACAGTTTACTTGTAAAATACATTATTTTTTTCATTTTTTCACTCGCAACGATTATACGTATCTCTATGCTATTTTTTCTGGGTTTGGATTATGACATAACCTAAAATAGATAAAGGGAAAAGGCAGGAAACGTTCACTTGTACTCTATCTTTCCAGCGTAGAGCGCGTTTTAATAATGGCAACTGACAGAAATGTAGAAAAATAATGTTACAAAATTTATTTTTGATTTAATATTTAATAAAAAACAAATTTTATACTAAGAACAATATATTTAAATTAAATAAACCTTGTTTCTTTACCAACAGATTGAATTTTTTTAAAAAAGATTTTTTTATATATATATATATTTTTTTTTTCACTTTTCAATTATTTTAAAATAAAGGAAGTATACTTATTTGGAAGGAAGTATACTGAATTGCGGTATTTTTTTATAAACATTATTTCTTTTATAATCATGATACAAATTATCAGACTACATACACTTAAATAATGACACGCCGATAACATAATGTTAATAATAATAATATTATAATAATAACACAAATAACATTAATAATAAGAAGAATAATTAGATACAAATATGACGGTGGTACGCAAAAATGTACTCTAAAATTACAATGCAAAAATGGCGAACGAATCATAGTAAAATATCAAGATCAAAGTAAAATATAAATATTCACTTTTGATTCGCACAAATTCAAAAAATAAACAAATCATTCATATTGATAGAAATTTTATCAACAAATTAGAGGAATTGATATCTTTTCTTTTTCTTTATTCGAAGATTTGTGAAGATTTATACCATTCGATCGGCTCGCCATTATTATGTGCTCAATAAAGGACAGAACATGCGATGAAAGAATAATCGCGTGGAAATTAACATTTGTACAATTCTGGTTGGATCATCGAGGAATTATATATGTTGGATGATGAACGAAATCGTGGAACAAATAAAGAATACTACCAGCGTTAATAAACGTCGAAATTAGCTACCTCTTGTACGGCTGTGACTCTACTCTAGCTGCTATTATTACGTTATCACCTGCCACTCATAATCATAAGTCACACACTGGCATCAGATTACGGTAACGTCATCTCGCGTTTTATTGTGAATCATCTTTTATATGCGAGTGACGCTGGCAACAGCAATCGCAAGATGGTTTCTTTCTTAATTATTTCTGTCATAATTTTTTTTTTTCTTTTTTACATACATAAATGTAAAAAGAAAAAATTATTAGTCACATTAAGAGAAATTTCGTCTGTCTGTGCTGGCGTTTTGTAATGGCGATCTTACTTAATGTTAATATTCTCTTTGGACTCTTTGTAATGTATCACTTTTGAACGATAATACTTTGAACGATAATTACAATTATCAACTATAATATATAAATATTAGAAATACAACATCTTTATAAACAATTCATATTTTGTGGTATAAGAAATACTATATATATGTATGTATATATATATATATATATTATGTAGAAACATTAATTTTCATTTCTTCGTTGCACTAATAAACTACTTCACACTGATAAACTCAAAACGTAAAAAAAAAAAAAAATAAAAATAAAAATAAAAAGAATAAAAAAAAAAATAACGTAATGTAAGTATCGTTGTAAATCTCTAAATATTTGTTCTAAAATCAAAAAGACAACGATGATATTGCGAACTACCGTTTGATTTCGCAATTAGAACTTATTAAATGCTATGAGTCTTTTTCTCCTTACGCACAGTCAATAATATATCATACACAAATATTCGAGTGCAATTAATTTGACAGTCAAACGTATTGACGTGTCTTGGAGAATATATTGTCATTCTTATTCTATACATAATAATATCCTAACTATCAATTATTATATAATAGGAACATAGCCGTAAAAGAATATAATAATATATAATTATAATCAATGTACACATATTTACGAATTGTCTTACTCAATTCAAATATAAACTTTCTGAAATTACAAATTAAAGTTATATACTTTATAAGAGTTCGGTTAGAAAGAAATACGTATATACTTGAGCAATACAACACTAAAAAGGACAGAATGATCGTTCTTCCATTCTTTTTAACATGCAAACCTTTAGCAAGTCATTAGAAACGGTATTAAATTGCACAAAATAATAGTAACTCGATTTCAAGACTGCCCAGGAAGTCACATCTCTTCAGACGTAATCTATGGTATATCATATACTTCTGCATACAACAAAGTAACTGTTAGATTACAAGTTGCAAAATCAGCCAATCAATTTTCTAAGAAACAACTATTTTCTATCGATTTAAATATTAATATTAAATAATAATATTTAAGTAATATTCAACTTGAATTCAAAATCCCTGAAAAATTGCCCAAAATTTCATAAATTTAACTAGAATTCAAAACTAGTTTAAATCTAGTTACAAAAATAATTGTCACTAGTTACAAAAATATATAAACACAAAAAAAGAATTACAAAAGAACTTTGATTATCCGAACATTGTTTAAAAAATATAATGAAAATTGATTAACGAATACAAAAGAAATAAAAAAAAAATAAATTTCATATAAATATTTATCTTGAAAATATTTGTATTTATATATTTATTTTAGAATTATAAATTAAACGGCATTTAAAAATTAATTAATTTTACGTTATTTTCACTTGATAATAATACTTTCCGAAATCTGTTTTCTTTAAATTATTAAAACAAATCTTTTTCAATTAGTTCGAATAATCAACGTTCAACCGTACTTAGACTAATATATAAAAAATATATTAAATGATTGCCTAACTTAAATCGAAATTTCAAAATCAAAATCAATATAATGAAATTAATATATTTACGTGCTCGTTTATTCATGTTAAATATATAAATAATATTTTGCGTTCGTTGTTTAATTCGACTCACGTATGTATGTATTCTGAAAAAGATCGATAAACCAAGAAATAAAAAAAAAGCCTCCGCCTGGAAAGAGCTAAGAATCCGACCATCAGCTATCGAAGTACCAAAGAACAAAGGAACGTAAACACTACAGCTAGTATTATCCTTCGTTTCGATCTGACCTTCGTCGAAGCTTATGGTCAGATTCACAGGAACGAGAAAGGCTTTCTTTGGTTTCAAAATAATTATAATGCATCCAAAAACGTATCGAGAAATCGAACCTGCTTCTATTCTTCAATTATTGCTCGAAAATAACGAGCATCATAGAGTCCGATAAATTAAAAGTGAAATGAACGAGCTTCGTAAACTTCTCTATGAAACATGTCATGTAAATTGGTAATATACATATAATTAGAAAAAAGTTAATTTTATATGCAAAAATAAATTGAGAATACAAAATAAAATCTTTTTAAGATTTTTCAAATAAATTAAAATTGAAAATTTATTAAATATATATGTGAATTTGGATAATTTTCAATTATATAATGAATAAGAGTTTATACTATACTATAAAAATAAATAAAAATGCAGAATAAAATTTTTTTGTTCAAATTCCCATTTAATTAAGAATATATACTATATTATTATAATAATCTAAACACTAATTTTTTGTTAATAAAGTATATTCAAGAAGTATATTCAATTAAAAATTAGCCAAATTCACATATTAGTATTTGATTTGAAATTTTCAATTGATATTTTTGAAAATAAAACTTCAAACGAATGAATTTTTATTTTAATATTCTAATCTGTTCTATGTATAGATATTTTCAACTTATTTTTATAAGTAAAAAAACTTTCCTTTGCCCTTTCTTTCTCTATGGTATATACTATCATTTAGAATACTCTATACTGTCATACTTAATGCTGTCAAATGATTAAGTATAAGTTTTAAAAGGAACTATATGTATCTCATTGGTCCATCGTCGACTTTTTAAGAAAAGTCTAAGTATCTTTAAAAAGAAAAATCTTTTCTTCTACGATTTCTAATAAACATTAGTAATGTACAAACGCAATCTCTATGTTACATATAGATAAATAAAACTGCGTAAATGTTTTTAGTCTCAAATATCGCCTAATATTCTTTTTTAAACTTAATTAAACGTACTCTGTCCATTAACGTGTCTCGATAAAAAACTTTTTGCTCGAAACTATTAAGATTGAAAAAACGTGATTTGTTTTGTTGTGATGATTTATAAAAAATCAATTGTATTCGTAATCATAAACAACGTGGATTTTTTAATATTCATGAGTGTCGTATAAAAAGTCTTGAAGAGTTTTATTAACATTATCACAGTATTTGTTTGTAAAGTTTCAATCTTTTTTAAAGTCGTTTTCACACTGACAAACATTTGTCGACAATCTTAAGAAAAATATGAATATTTAATGTCAATGTTATGTCAATGCATGTAAATGTACATACATATATGAAATTAAAAAAAAAAGTTGAAATTATCATAATATTAAGTGATGGCTTGAAAAGATGATAAAAATATTCATTTATAAATAAATCTTTTTCGTAATCGCAAAGGAAACTTTACAGAAAAGTGACACGTTTGGCGAGAGTATATGGCACTCGTTTCGTATAAATAATTTCTTATGTCTAAAATGTCTTTGGATACAGCCTCTTGATTATCTAAACTCCAGACGATTCATATTACGATTCGAATAATAATCTTTTTTATAGTTTGCCTCCGAGCTTCGGTGGTTTATTTTATATTTCCACTAGATATCGTATTGTCAAAACCGAATAAATAAATATGATGTAAAAAGAGGAAACACAAAGACAAAGTAAATGAAATGTAGAATAAACTTTTTTTCTCTTCTGCTTGATCGATAAGATGAATTTCGTAAGATCCAATGGCAACCGAGCAACGAATGGTAACATTGTTTCGAGAAATCGTTACTAGGAATTCAATTATATTCCTGTAAGGCACTTTGGTTCGTTTATATTTGAAAAGATGCGACGACGGTAAAATTACCTGCCAGCAGATGATACCGAAACGCTCGCGAGAGTTGTTAAGGATGGAGGCACCACTTCTTCGAAATCCTTGAAAAGAAGATATACTTTTGATGTTTTATGGCACAAGGATGGTGACACGTGCTCGAGTGCCACGGTGTGTTTTATTTGACGCGTCGTTTGCCCATAGAGTTTCTCAATAGTTTGAACGCATTTACTGTTGCCAATGTGCCAGGGTTTTTGGTGCCTTTTGGACAATACTTGACCGTATGAGCTATGTCTCCACACGCACCACAAATTGGACACGTATAAGCCCTAACGATTTACAGAAAAAAATGATATGAGAAAAACAATTTGTGGCTTTCTCAAAAAAGTTTTTTTTTCAACCTTCCATAATATATATATATATATATATATATTTTACTAACAAAGTAATGATCTTGACTTTATTTTGTTTATTCTAAATCTGCTCATTATTCAAATTTTTAAAATTGTTTTGAGTAAATGCGTTAAATATTTAGTTACATAACAATAATCGGCGAAATATTAAATGAAATGAAATTTTGCTTATGTTCAAATGCATTCAAAGATACTACGGAAGATTATAAGAAAAAAGACCGAAGAATAAAGTTAGAAAAAAAGTTACCTTAAAACTGGACAGGAGACGCGACCATCAGCATCTTTTAGCAAGTGTTTACGGTAATAAGCCTCCTCTTCGCCATTATTTCTACAGAAAACGCATTCTGTAGGCAAAGGTTTCTTATTTTTCTTGCGGCGTGGTGTTGTTTCTGGCATTGTAACATTGTCCAAATCTGGACAATATTCAAAATCACGTCCATTATGACGGAACTCCTCCATTACATCCTCGACTATAATTGTCAAGTAATGTTATGTGTATTGCATTCCGTCAAAAAACATAAAAAATGTAAAAAATAAAATACAAAGAATAAATAAGAAGTTAATTCTACGCTTAAAATCGAGAAAAAAAAAATAATATATATATATGAGAAGTTTATAATCTTAGAAAGTTTTCAAAGATGATCGAAAAATGATAAAAAAGAAATATTTAATAGCAGATAAAATTTGCGATCTGTATATTTTTGTTGTGAATTTAATGTGATACATCGTAAGTCGAGAAAATAACGTCCGTAGGTGTTGGGTTTCACGGTTTGTAAACATTGTCGTCCTAATTTTTCGAATGACGCAGAAACGATATTATCGTTTAATCGAAAATATATAATGTTTGTAACAAGTATTATTGTTGTCAACGTTTAAAAGCCATCAGAAAGTTACAAAAAGCTAACGTTCATTTAGAGTTTGTATTTTCATCTTAAATATGTATGTGTCGATACGTAATGAAATACCAGCCTGCCATCTTTGAACTCCTTTATCCTAAGTCGAATGTTTCAAGCAAAAAAGCACGCGATCTTCTGTTTACGTTTATACAATCTTAAACATCTGTATCACCCAGACAAGAACGATCACTTATAATCTTTTTTTTTTCTTTTGTCTTTTTCCCTCGAAAAAGCAAATGGTCGACAGACTATCATGTTTATGAAACACTATGAAATTATTAAGTAATACCAATATATTAGTTTTTTTTACATAATTCAATGAATTCGATCGAATAAACGTTTCTAGGAATCTCTTGAACGACGTGTTATTCAGCGGAACGTTTTAGAATACAGAATTCCTCTTATCGATTCGTTTGTTTACAAACTATGGAAAGTATCTACTAATCGGAACGCGAGTTTATCACGCATAATGAATCATGATCAGAACGCACGATTTTAAATCGAAGTATATTACAACGCGATAGTGACATTTCAAATTGAGAGAGAGAGAGAGAGAGAGAGAGAGAGAGAGAAGAAAATA